AGAGGAAGAAGAGTAGGAGATTAAGGAAGTCAAAATTCTCAACCATTTTGTCACCTTACAACTAAGTAAGAAAACCTTCTCAACTCTCTCATTTCTTTTTATTAGTGAAACTTTCAGATTACTTCCTTGTGATTAAAATGACTACTCATAAATAGAAATTTTATATGTATGTGTAGGAAAACTGTGTTAAGAATAATCTATTTTGAATCTGCCAGCATGTTTATCCGAATTTTTAGATAATTTTACACTCAAAATCTCGAGATGATTTCTTCTACAAAATTATTGATAATGACGTCTAGTTTATCCAAAAATTTATGGAAACAATGTTTGAGCTTTCTACGAATTTATACAAATTTTTAACTAAATCTGAAACTGTGTTGAGAATAATCTGTTTTGAATCTGCCAGCATATTTACTCGAATTTTTAGACAATTTTATACTCAGAATTTCGCGATGTTTTTTCTACAAAGTTGTTGATAATGATGTCTAGTTTATCCAAAAAATTTTGGAAACAATTTTCGAGCTTTCTACGAATTTATACAAATTTTTAACTAAATCTGAAACTGTGTTGAGAATAATCTGTTTTGAATCTGCCATCATGTTACCCGAATTTTTAGATAATTTTATACTCACAATTTCGAGATGATTTCTTCTACAACGTTGTTGATAATGATGTTTAGTTTATCCAAAAAATTTTGGAAACAATTTTTGAGCTTTCTACGAATTTATACAAATTTCTAACTAAATCTGAAACTGTGAGACAGATTTTACCATGTATTTGAAAATTTATTTAAAATTCTATACTAAGCCAAATCTGGTAATTTCTAACTAAAAGATGAAATTTGAGAAGTCTAGTTTCATGATAAATTTTTAGATTATGGGTTTGATCTATAAATTTAAGCATGGAATTAATGTAAGGAAATGTGACAAATCTGTGTCGTAAACACCCTTGGAATTTGTTTAGAATTATTTATAAGTTATTTTTGGAAAATGCTTTCTGAAAAATAACCATAACATGTTTATTGAGTATCCTGTAGATTGATATGAATTTTAGAGTTGTATAAGTAATGTATTTATAATTTTATTTGCAAGATATATACTCTGGAAATTTTTCTGGACAGGATAAAATCACCACTTTAATATTATGCTAGTCTAATTTTGTAAATCAAAAATTTGTGCATGTGTGTATTTATGGTTTAATTCTTGTATCTAAGTTATTATTTCATACCATGGTTTAAATAAATTGTTTATTTAAATTCTGTACTTTTATTTAGTATTGTGTGACACATGCAATATTTTATGATTGGGAATTTTAATGAGTTGGTATAACATTATTTGTGATTAAAAATTTGGAATTGTTTGTGATTAATATCAAAATTAACTGAAATGATTAACGACATATACAAAGTTAACAATTGACGGTTAATACCAGTTGTTCGGGGTGAGTCTTGGTTTAAAGACTGTACAGAATTAAGGGTTGATGGTTAACATCGGTTGTTCAGAGTGAGCCCTGGTTTTGAGAATTCTCACGTAGATTGTGTTGTGAAACTCTAAGATGGCACGGGACTTTGAACCCTTTTCGGTATTCGGTTTTGGAATAAGGGTGGATATGCATGTGGCACACAGGGAGGTTATTTACCCCTGGCAGACCGTTTCCTTGGGGCAGATCACGGATGCCACTACTTGGATATATACCTCCGGACGTGGGCATCCCTGGTAGTTACGGTTGGTAACACTTAAATATTTGACCAAGGGAGGGTTTCAAATTAACCGTTGCCATGCTTAGTGGTTGGTAAGTTAAATCTCTTTGGTGAGATTTCGAGTGTCACCTAAATTATTAAAATTACTGAAACTATTCTAATGGTTGTAATTTCTGTGTATAATTATATTGTTATCTCATGTTTAGAATATTATTATTTTTCTCTTAAAAAGAATGGTAGGTTGGTTACGTTTTCTTACTGTGTTGCAAAACTCATGGCATATATTTTGTTGCCCTGGCGTTTCATGCCAGATTATGTTGAAGAAGGGACTGAGGCTGAAATTGGAGCTGCTGCCAATATCGAACCTTGGCTGACTTAGAGTCAAGATTTTATCGAAATAAAATCCTGTTATCCCTTGTATTAGGATTTAACTATGTTGTGACGTTGGGTGTAAATTTGTAGTTTTATTTTGTTGTTGGGCTTTGACTATGTAAGAAATTAAAAGTTCCTAATTAGTAGTTAAAACTTTATTTAGCAAGTTATCGTTATTTAAATCTTATGACGTTTCAAAAGAAAAATTTTGGGGCGTCACATGTTAAGCTGAACCAAACACATCAAAATAGCTTAAATTAAGCTAAAAGCTGAAATAAGCTGGAAATAAGCCTTACCAAACAGGCCAATTTAGTCATCCAATAGTATCACTGCACACTATTTATATTTGAACTAATGTCTAGTTGTCTCCCCAAAGGAGACAAACAAGTAGTGAAATCCACTATTTTAACCAATAATATTCAAGTTGAGACATTACCTATATTTGTTCCAGGACACAGTATAATTTCTGAGAAAGTCTACTAATCTGAACTTAGCCCTCGTTTGGGAACAGGTTTTTTTAGTAACTTTTGACTTTTTGGCTAAAATGCGATGTAAAAAAAACTATTATGTTTTGGATGACTTTTTGGCTTTTTACGAAAAGCTGTGCAAAAAGTAGAGAGAAAAGTGAATCTTTGACTTTTTGGTATGGGTTGTTGGTTTTTTGATTTTTTTAGTAACTTTTTGACTTTTTAACTAAACTGACCTGTTGCCAAACGAGACCTTAGTGTCAACTCTATATGAAGTGTGAAAACAATTAATTTCTAAATGAATAAGAATGAATTTGTAATATCACTTATAATTTCTGGTAATGTTAGGGTTTATTGATGAGATGCCATTTCAATTTTTTGATCAAACCCGACCCGTTTACTGGTCAAGGAAGGCCCGATTCATAGGCGTGACTTGGGCATAGAGATGACAATGGATAACCTACCCTATGGGTATCTATGGAGACCCAACCCAAATACATGGGTTTTCCTATTTTTTCTTATCCGTCGGGTAGGATAAGTGATATTCTTTAAATATCCACAGGGGATGGGTACCCACTAATTTTCCCATATGTTTTTTTTTATTTTTATTTATTTATTTATTTATTTTTTAAGATTCACAACCAAAAGCTAAATATACATTCAATCTTTTTTCTTTTCTTTTAAAATTTTTTTTTTAGGTTCACAACCATTTTTTTTATAAGATTCACAACCAAAGCTAAATATACATTCAATCTTATTTTATTTTATTTAGCTCAACAACAAAATCAAATCCACATTAACTAACATTGTCACATTATTCTTGTCAAATTTTATATATATCTAGAATTTTTTAAATTTATTTAGAAAAATTCTATTCTTACAAAAAAATTCCATCTTTTAATTTTTTTTTTAATTTTATGTATATCATTCTCCTCTCTATTATTTGATCTTCGATAATCTGAAGGTGAGTTATTACTCTCATTTCTATCTTCTTCTTCTTCTTCTTTTTAAAAAAATTTATTTACATTTATAGAATGAATTTTATAGTTTCAATATCTCCTGCAATTGTTTTATTGGATTTCTCTCTGATTTGATGGTAACCTTAGATTGAATTTCTCAATTTCATCTTAACTAGCAATCACCTTAATTAAAATTTTGTACATTTTTGTCTTCAATTTCCATGTGTTTGGTTATGATTAATTACGCATTTTTGATCGATAGTCACAATCTTGTCACCGCTAGATTGTTGTTATCGCAAATCGCCATTGTTGTAATGAGAGGATGAGAGAGAGTGAGAATTAGAACTCTTATTGTCAACAGAGTAGTGAAAACTTATGGAGAAATTATTTTTCGATGTACCTAAAAAAAATATATGGAAAAATTAGTGGGTACCAATCCCCGGTTGAGATTTAAAGAACATCACTTACTTACCCTACCTGACGGACAAGAAAAAATGGGAAACCCAAGTATTTGTGTTGGATCTCCATGGATACCCACATAGTAGGTTATCCATTGCCATCCCTACTCTGTTGACAATTAGAATTCTAATTCTCACTCTCTCTCATTCTCTCACTACGACAACGACGATTTGCGATGACGACAATCTAGCGGTGACAAGATTGTAACTATCGATCAAAAACGCGTAATTAATCATAACCAAAACATGAAAATTGAAAAATTCAATCTAAGGTTACCATCAAATCAGAAAAAATCCAATAAAACAATTGCAGGAGATATTGAAATAAGAAAATTCATTCTATAAATGCAAATAAATTTTTTTAAAAAAGAAAAAGAAAAATGAGAAGATGGAAACGAGAGCAATAACTCACCTTCAGATTATCGAAGATAAATTAATAGAGAGGAGAAGGAGATACATAAAATTAAAAAAAAGATGGAATTTTTTTTTTGTAGAAATAGAATTTTTCTAAATAAATTTAAAAAATTCTAGATATACATAAAATTTGACAAGAATAATGTGATAATGTTAATTAATGTGTATTTGATTTTGTTGTTGAGCTAAATAAAATAAAATAAGATTGAATATATATTTAGTTTTGGTTGTGAATCTTAAAAAATAAAAAAAAATAAAAATAAAAAAATAAAAAATTGAATGTGTATTTAGCTTTGGTTAAGATTGAATTTTTCGAAATAAATTTTAAAAATTCTAGATATACAGAAAATTTGATAAGAATAATGTGACAATATTAATTAATGTGTATTTGATTTTGTTGTTGAGCCAAATAAAATAAAATTGAATGTATATTTAGTTTCGGCTGTGAATCTTAAAAATAAAAAAAAAAAAATAGTTGTGAACTTTAAAAAAAATAAAAAAATAAAAAAAAAGAGATTGAATGTATATTTAGTTTTGATTGTAAATTTAAAAAAAAAATAAAAGAAAAGAAAAAGATCAAGTTAGATTGAAGAACATTCAAACTCATTAAGAGATGGGAGAGTAATACCATGGAGAATGAGGAATGGGAAATGAAAAAAATAATTATAAAAAAATAGAGATAAAGAGCGTTGATGATCCCTGCCTGGACACAGAAAAGTCTTTAACAAAGCCACGGATATTACCTATGCGAAGCGAAGAAGTGGCAGTCTACGATTCGATTCGATCCCGTGTACTGTGTGATCAAACTGCAAATCATTGAGAGGAGAGAACCAGATGGGAAGTAGGAGTAGAGGCAATGGAAACTACACAAACCCATGTCTCACAATGCATCAGCCCTGGGCTTCTTTGCTTGTTCATGGTATCAAGCGCATTGAGGGCAGATCTTGGCATTCCCCTATCAGAGGTACCCTTTTAATTAATTCCATTCCACACCCCATGTATCTCTTTTATCTTCTTCTAGTTTTGTATAACAAATTATATGATTTGATGTTGTGCAAAAGGTAGTAGCTTTAATTTTATGTCTAATTGTTTTGTTTGATTCCTCAAATCTCCAGAATTTGGTTTTTTGAGTCTCATGTTTTGGTGGGTCGTGGGTTTTTCTTCTTCTTTGTTTTTGTTTGATTCTGTGTTGATTTTGGGTTCTATTCTTTCTCTTGTTTGGTTCATGGGTCATTATGATCTTATTGTATTATACTAACAGCTTGTTGGACACCCCACCTAAGTCAAATTTCAACAAGGGCAAAACCATAAAATTCTACACCCACTCTTAGCCACCACCTTCTCCCCTTTCTCCCTCAGCAATCACTGCCACAGGGGAAGGGTGGGAGAGGGTTAGGGTTTGGCAGGGAGGGACGAGGAGGGGCTGCGAGGAGGGATGGGAGGCCGGTAGAAGAGGTGGATGATGGTGGGTGGGGGCAGGGTTGGAATTAACTGGGGCGTTCAAAGAAAAAGAATAAAATTCAAAATTGAGTATAGGGTATCCAAAGAGAGGTTTAACAATATTTTTGGGGTGCATATGGATGTACCTTTTGAAGATTTGTTGCATAATTTGATTTCCAATAATGCCTGTAGAATTGCTAATTGAATGAATAAATATGCCACATATATCTACTAGATATTTACTTATCTACTAATCAATTTTCAAAACCAACCCATATTTCTCATTCTGCAAACTGCCCAAAAATTTAGATATAAAATTGCCAATGCATGACTTGTGCACTTGCCACTAGTTTTTGCAATGTAATGCCATCCGAAATTTGCTTATGGTTGAAGTATTGTAGCAAGGGAAGCATATCAATAATACTATGAGATTTGCAGCTTTCAAGGATGGATAAAATAAAAGAAACATTCTTGTACCGTGATTATAAGTAGTTTGCTTACCATGTTCCACTCGCAATGTCATGGATTATCAAAATATAGTCCTTTATTTGGCACAAGAGTCTTGTGCAATAATAAGTGGGCCTTATGGGAAGGGATTCGAGCAACTGCTAAGTATCCAAATTCCAAAGGTAATGAAATGAGGGGCAGAGACAAACTATTGAGTTTATTTATGTACTTATGATCAAGTTATTGATTTTGTTAAAAGATTATAAAAAGCTGAAAACAAAAGCACCATATACTTATAGAGTCCGTCTTTTAAAATAATCCACTATTTCTACTGAAATGGCATTTATGTCATTGTTTAAAGCATTAGACTGCTCTCTCTCTCTCTCTCTCTCTCTCTCTCTCAGTGCATATATGATTGCTTGCATGTAATTCTAGTGAGAATGAATCCTACTATTCTTTCTATTTTTTATAGTATTTATTTTATGCAGGCCGACTTTGGATTCATGCTGCTGGCAAGGTCCCAGATCCGGCCACAATCAAAGCAATGGAGGACTTCTACAGGGAAATTTATGCAGTGAATGGGATAACAGATCTCAAGTTTCCAGAACATTATCCAATTTCCAGATTGTTAGGTTTGAAATTATCTTTGATAAGGTTCTACTGGATTTGTTCATTGTTTCTTTTTATAACTATAGATATGCACATTATTTTTGTGCATTTGTAACTAATAAGTTGAAAAGAAAGACTCAGGTATGAATTTCTACAATAATTTCTGCAATACTGTCTTCCTTGGAATTTGTGGGGGACAGACTAGATTCTTTTAATAGGTCACCTATTAGGATTGATTAAATAAGAATATTTCTTTTTTAATTTGTTTCATATCAATCACGTTGTTTCAATGTTCTAGACTCTTTATCTTCTTCTTTTTTTTTTTCTCTCTTTATTTTCTCGTATTTCCACGAGGGTGCACAAAGTACCAGATTTCTATGGTGTCTGGTCATTATTGCTCTTGTTTATACAAATGATATATGATTTATGATTCTGAGCTACGTTACATGGACTCTCTGTTTTGTGAGAGGTACTTATGTTGACACGACATGACACGACACGGGTACGGGTGTGGAATACGGCCGAGATATACAAATGGATACGGCTAAAACTCAGAGATGGAGAGAGAGAGGGCTGAAACTCACCTTTGTGAAGCAAGTCTAGTGGTGAAGCAAGATCGAAATGCGAACCCTAGTCGCAAGCTTGACCGAATCGAAAGAGATCATTGTGAAGACCATTCCACCCAGTAAATGATCCTAGGGCTTCGATTCCCCTTTGGTTTCGGTCTCAATCTCGATCTCTCTCTTTGTTCTCTTTCTCGATCTTAGTCTCCGTTCTTCTCTCTCTCTCTCTCCCTCCCCTCCTTTTCGTCTTCTCCTCTTTGTTCTCTGTTCTCTTCTTTTAAATTAGATTTATGTTATATATTATAAATTTATTAATATAATAATATATAATATTATTCATGTTACATAATATCATCCAGCCAAAAAAAAATTGTATAATATAATATATCATAAATAATATAATTTTTATTCCTAAAATAAAAATAATTTATTTTATCATATATAATATAATTTATTTTATACCTAAAATAATTTTTATTTGTTATTCCTTAACTTTTTTTTAACTCATCTTAACTTTATATAATATAATATAATTGTTTAATATAATTATTCCTTAACTTTGTATAATATATTTAATTTGTTATTCCTTAACTTTTTTTTAACTCATCTTAACTTTATATAATATTATATAATTATTCCTTAACTTTATATTTGTTATTTCTTAATTTTATATAATATAATTATTTAACGTATTCTTGTACTTGTATTCAAATTTGGATTCATATCCACATATCCTCAATTTTTAATTTTGAAGTGTCCAACTCATAGATATGCACCCGCACTCGATATCCACATCCAAGTCTGTGTAACGTAGATTTTGAGTTGAGAGAAAGTATATATACTACTGTACGAGTACGAAATAATCTTCTCGCATAATCCTGTTGATCAAGTTTGTACTCCTTCGAATGTTGTCGTTTTGTTACCTGAAAACACAGACGTGATCTAGCCGGCGAGTATGTGCCGGAAACCTCTCCGATGCCCAAGTCAGCAAATAGACAATAGATAAAAGCTCTGTGTATTTGAGAGTAAAAATTGTAATACCTGTACATAGGTCCTGTATGAGCTTTTGTAGATTCTGCTTGGCACAATCCTAGTAGGACTCCAACTCTCCTCAGCAGAGTCCTCCTAGGAATCACACTCATTAGGATAATACCTATCCTGATGACACCCTTCTCACTACCAACCAAATGAGATGGCCCAAACCTCCTTACCTCGGCTCGGTAGCATCTTAACCGAGCTAGGAAGGCCTTGCTCCACACCAGACAGAACCAGGGCAGTCTTCAACCGAGATAACCACTCCGGAACCTCGCACCATCGTACCCCGGTCCTGCTTTGATATAACCATCTCGGTTCAAGCCATGGGCCGAATACCCGTCCAGTCCATGACCGAGCTTAATCCATTCTCATTTCTGCCCGTAGCGCGGCCTAATGACCAAGAGTGAACCTAGCTCGGTCCATGCAATAGATGGCCTTAGCTCGGCCTTATTTAGATATAAATTGTCCTCTCAATTGCCCCTTAATTCCATCTGCAGTGCATGATTGGGATTATTCTTCTCCAGTCGAGCTAGATGTACAAGCCTCCAACCGAGCTCAATATTATCGGGCTCCCAATTCGCTCGATCCAGAAATGTCTTGTCAGTTGCTCTGCACGCCGTTTCACTACTCAAACATGTTTGAAACGTTATTTATTCCTCTGGACACGTGGCATGCCCCCACTAGTCAAGTACACCTGTTATAGCCGTCTTGTACTATGAAATTTGAACAATCCCGCCCATTTTCGCGCCTATAAAAAAACCCATTTCTTGAACCAAAGCACTCTTATTGTTCATCTTCTCTCCCTTGCATTTCTGAGTTCCATATCTGTATTCTAGCCCCAAAACTAGTAGCCATACCATCCGCTTCACTCGTCCTTTCGCTGGTTGGATTCTGCCTTCAAGCTTTAAACCTGTAAGTTGCTAATGTCTCTCTCTTCCTCTTTCTGGCGTTCTCTCTCTTTTTTTTTTTTTTTTTTAATATTAATTTCCATGATTCCAGCACCTAACCCCCATATATGCATGTTATATACACTAGAGTGTTCAGGTTTCAACCCAAAACCTCACACTCAAGCTTAAATTAGTTTAAAACATGGTCTTTGATCCAAAATTGTGCTGTGACCGAACTAGAAATTTGTTTGCAACCCTTAGGCTTGTACTTGACCGAACTAGAAGCGAGCTATATCTTTGTGCATTGATCACCAACTGTGCTACAAACCTTGAGTTGGCCCTATTTTACGGCCGAACTATCTGTAACCTAGATGCAGCCGAGTTAGGCTTTTTTTACTTGTTGCCTATTTACTTAGCTCGGTCCAGTTTATCTGGGCATAACACTTTTTCATTTCCACTTTGCAGATTTGACTAGGTTGGCCAGGCACACCCTTGCACTTTGCCCCTGGGCAATTTTGCTCAACCGAGCCATCCAAAGTCACACTAGCGCCGAGCTAGGCTGTCGTACTCATTTTTACATAACAATCTTCAACTTTAATGGGTAAATACTGATTCCGGGTAGACTCGCCTGGGGCCATGGTCAAATTCCGAAGAGACTACCATATTCCTGATGACGTCCACCTCTCCTTAGCTGAGCTAGACACCACACCCTGGGACAAACTGGGCTTCGTCCCTTTTACAGTGATATCGATTGTAGAAGCCGGGCTTCGGTTTCTTGTACAGCCCCTTATGTGCGAGTTCCTAAGACAAGCAAGATTATGTCTAACCCAACTGTCCACAAGCACTTATAGAATAATAAACGGTATCGCCGAGCTAAACCGCCGGCTCGGCCTCAGCCTTGGATTGGCTGAGCTATTTCATCAATATTCGCTAGGCCAAAATGACGACGATTGGGTGTACTACCTTAGAGTAAGAAGAGGTTGAGAAAAAATTATAAAAGACTCTAGACAAAGATCTAAACGATGATGATTTCTTCTGGGTTTCTGGAAACTTTGAAGACCATGAAGCCCAGATACCGGGCTATAACATCAACTGGAACAAGGGAACAACTGGTAAGGACAGCTCGGTTCATTTTTCTTGGTTATCAAAACAGCTCTCGTACTAACCCGTGTGTTCTTTGTTCTTTATACAGATTTGAACCACTTAAAATCGACTTACGTTTACGCGAATCAAGATGCACTTCGAGCCGCGCTACGATACCAGCATCGCGAGTGGACCGAGCTACTCGACGTACAACCGACCTACCGTTACAGTGGCAACAGGAAGACCAAAGTGACCGACTTCCTTCTTGAACCTTCCCCTGAGCCAGATCCCATTCTTCCCTAAATCAACCTAATTTCCCTTACAGAAGAACAAGAAATGGCAAAAAAGAGGGCTGTGCGAGCACTTATCATCGAGCAGACCTTCGGTGAAGTTCAAATCGAGCTAGACCCATCCGGTCAACCGCGTGAAACAATGGTCGCCTTTCCCACTACTAGGGCCACCACATCTCGATCGAGCAAGCGTGCATGTACCTTATCGACCAAACCGCAATGCCTGGTGGATGAGGAGGACACTGCGCTTCCTGAACCTGTGTTACCGAGCCCAGAGCCCGTGCGCTCTGACCGAGCAAGCCCATTAGAATGGGCACCCTCTATGACCTACAAGAACCGTGCTGTAACCACCACGGATTCAGTGGTTGCTGACAAAGACCATATGCTCGCTTTTAACCTCTCTAAGAGTGTTTGTCTACCACCAGACATGGAGCATCATGACTAACTAATCGAGCTCAAAGCTATTCGCTCGGCGACCAAGTCGATGGTGCTTGTAAGTTCTCTCATCTAGGTGTTTCCATATTAACTATCTATTTGCTCGGTTTATCCTAACCTCTTCATTTCCTATCCGTAGGCCCTGTAGAAAAACCATGTGGCCCACAAGCGTGTGCTTGAACTCTGCAAGACCGCTTGGTCGGCCGTGGCTGATACAAACGCCAGGGTAGCCGAACTGAAGGAGGCCCGGCTAAAGTTGGCTGAGTTGGAATCCGAAAACAAACGTCTGATCGAACTAGTCAACGTTGCGGAAACCGATAAACAAAAAGCCCTAGCAGAGAAAAAGGACCGCTACCTGCGTGAATTGACAAAGTTATAAATGCCGAGGTCACCGAGCTGAAGAAGATGATGGAAGACGCTGAAGACGGAGGCTTCAAAGAAGGGGAGGCAACCTACGTCTTGCAATGTGAAGTTGCCAAAGACATCTTTTTCAAATGCAGGTGGAAGGCTGCTGCTGTCAAGCTCGGTCAGGGGCCAGACACCGAGATCTTTTAGAACCCTCCCCCTTACTTCATTCCAAGTTACATGACGGACTACGCCAACGTGGTCCAACAAAAGTTTCTTCAAGAGAGGGAGGAGGAGGAAGAATCCCCTGAACCAAATAATGCCCCACCTGCAAACATTGACCCCGGTCTCTAGCCTCTTCTGCCAACTCGGGTGGATCTTCTCA